TTCTCTAGACCATGCAGTCCATTTATGGAGCAGGAAAGACATTTGCAGGCAATGCACAATCCTCTTGAATTAGTTTCACACACTCATGCACAATTGACTGCAAATCACATAGTGCTCTAGTCAGTGGATATCCTCCCATTTGCTGGAATGGCTCATCAGCTCAGCACCTTTGTGAATTAGAGCACTGATTCTCCTTCGCTCCCTCCCTCCCCACGTCCGCCCTGTTCACTGAAAGAAACTGCTGTTATTACAGAACTCCAGGAATCAGTCATATGTGAAATAACATTTCTGCTTGCCAGCACAGGAGGATTTTCCACACGGAACCATTATAGCTCCGTATGGTCTCTCTTTGGGGCGTGAAGTGTGAATAATTCCACTGCTGTATAAGCAAAATATAGAAGCCCTCACAGGTGATTGCTAAAGGGTTAATGTTGTGGTCAGAAATATGCATATCACTATATCACTTATTATTGCTTGTTTTTACACAGCTCTCCACACCTGCCAATCACGGCGCTCACGTCCTGTTATTCTGGAGATCAGTAATAGTGCTGATAGGATGCAATCACAAGGGGTACAGAGGACCAAAGTCGGCTGCTATGGAATCAAATGAAAGCTATAAAATGTTTTTTATAGTAAAGGCTAATTTAACCTTTTGCAAAAAAAAAAAAAAAATCATAAAAATCTTAATGACATCAATAATAATAATAAAAATTATTAGTATTATTATTAATAATAATAATAAGTATTATCATTATTATTGGTATTATTGCATCCAGTTTTGATTCTCTCTCATTTTTACTACATATCAACCAGCTCTCCATAAAGGGATAAAAAAAAAACCTCAGCTAATTCACTTAATAAATGCCGCTAGAGTCCACATTCCGGTTCTATGGAAACAATCGTCATTCCTCTCCTCAGTATATATCAACAGTTTGTGCGTATTAATGAAACAATGCAAATGGAAGACCTTATAGCTTCCCTCCAGCATCAAGAAGACAAATTTCATAAAACCCAGTATTGCCGGCTAGATTTCTGCTCTACTCCTAAATACAGCTTCCTACTTACAGTATGTCATAACCCAATTGAGACTTAAGTTGGCCATACGTGGATTGAAATTTGGCCGGTTCCACCGGGACCAGACAAATTTTGATCCATATACAGGCAAGCTGGTTGTATACAAGTCGATCTCTTGGTTGACTTGTGTAGGACCAATCTTTCGGGTTTTTCCCAAGCGATCAGTGCCTGGTAATATTGATCATTGTATTCTGCACTGGGATAGGCTCCCCACTGGCAGAATACAATAGCTCAGCAGGAGAGATTCCCCCATCCACTCTGAGTATATGGATGAGGAAATTGGTTCTTTTTTTTTTTTATTTCATTCAACCTGCTGGTTGAACAAAAAAAAGAAATAAATCATGTATGGCCTGCCTAAGTCTTTCTCTTCCATCTTGACCCTGTTGTTGTCCAAATAACATTTCCACTACTTGACTCCCATCCTAATTCTTATGTCCCTTTTCCCCTCTCCGATCCCTTCTCTTTAGTCCGCTTGTATTTTGGCTGCTCATCTACTTTATAACATCCCATTTCTATTCTTTTCTGTGTTCAAAATTCTCTAAATTTCCTTAAATAAGGATCTCCAGAGAATGGAGAGACCCATGCTCACTCCTACCAGAGCTCTTATATATGACATTTCATCATTCAGCAGGCCTATAATCTTTTCTACTGTCCAAATCCCACCATATACTCAAAGCGACTCTTTATATTATGGACTCTTCATATTATGGAGTCTTCTTATTATGAATTTGTTGGTTTATGGGTATTTTTGTTGTTTCATCCATCAGTTATTTTATATAACTCTGTACCTGGCTTTGCCTGTAACTTCTGGATCATTGACGTTTAATTGCTTTTATGTTGTATCTCTGCCTCTGGAAAACTTTAAAATAAAAAAAATATATATAATTAAATTAAAAATAAATGCACCCATATGTGCAGTTATTACTTTATGCATTGGAGCCTGCAAATTATTGCAGAAAGTTGCTCAAGCAGCAAAGATCTCTCACTAAGATGCATGGCTCCCATTGCTGCCAGACAACCCCCTTTAACGTAGGTGTTCAACCTGTCTGAACCTTTTCCAGACATCCAGACCCAGCCACCATGTGTGTCTATGGGCGATGGATGTAAATGGACCACAGAAAAGAACAGAAAGGATCGGAGTTCTTTTACCTATTCATGCATGTAAATGGATGTAAATGAATGTTGTCCATTTATGTCCATTTTTTTGTCCATTCTGTTTATGTCTGTTTTTTGGCAAGAAACATATTTCTTTGTTTATGAATTGAAGATGGATGTGCAATCTTAATCAGTTTTTTTAGGAATGTGACAAAACTGATGATGCCCATATTAAAGGACCCAGAAAGGGATGAGCTAAGGTTTGGGCTCAGTTCGGCCAAGACCTGTGGGAAACTGTCATAAGACAGCAGACTGTTGTCCCACCAACTGCAGCCGCTAAGTTCTCTACCTGAGTTTTTGAAGACCTACATTATTCCAGATTGGTGTAAATTGTGTATAACCCTGTATGTCTGGTAATAGTTTTTGTGGCTGGCCAGACTTTATGTATACACGCTTGAGAATAGGGTGTCATTAATCCTTCTGGATGCGGCCACCCTCCAGAAGAGGAATGAATGGGTCATGTTGAAGGGCAGCCGTTATCTCCTTCTGTAATGCACCCTCAACATCAAATGTGCCCCAACTTACTGCTTGTTGTAGCTAAGAGGCTAGAAAATCAAGTTTTGTTTTAGAAATAGCCAGACCTCCTGCATCTTTCAGAAGTTGAAGGGTTTCAAACATAATCCTGGCCTAGCTACATTTGCAAATGAAATCTCCAAACAACAAGTCATATTCCAACACTCCAATACAAGGCTATTTTGAGGGATCCACAAAGGGGGTGTTATGTGGGGTGTATAGTGTTTGAGACGTCTGGACACAAGAGTTTTTAGTACCTTTTGAATTGTTTAAATTTTTAGGACTTACATTTAGGCTCCATGTACACAGGACACTTCTGAACAATAGAAACTGAGTGCTGGAAAACATAGGTTAAAAAACGTCTGTTTAGCCGCGTTTGCATACACCGTTTATGCGCGTTTATGAGCATTTATGTTTAGAAGTGTTTTTTAAGATAACCTCAGGAGACCTTCCAAAATGCCCAGAATGTACTGAAAAAACAGTAAAAAAATAACTATTTCAGACATTTTTAGAGAAATAAAGGGCAGAAGCAGAGAGAGCAGTTTGTGTTGAGATTAGCTGTCTTTTTTTTGTGGTGTTTGGATGTGTTCCGGCTCATTTCTGTGCAGAAATTATTGAAGCACCTCAAACCTCAAAGTATGGTGTACCAGGTCCATTTGAGTACCAGAAAAACACGTTGCGTGTATTTTTCATGATGAAAAAAGGCTCTGGACAGCATCTGGAAATGGAAGAGTTAAAAAAAAAAAAACGCAAGCTCTTATAAACACGGTTAGCTGCGTTTACACGCGTTTACAATCGTTTGGCATTTGAAACGCCAGTAAAATCTACTCCTGAACACAAGTTTGGTGCGTTCAAAAAAACGACCGTAAACTCAACTGCCTGTAAACGACTGTAAATGACGATGTGTACATGGACACGTAGAAATACATTAGGGAGAGTTCAGGGGCTGCTGAAAAAAACCGCTCAACAGCTCCTGAATGTCAGTTTTTGGAGCTGCAGTGTACATGAGCCCTTACATTTAGTTTCAAAGCCCTTTTAAAGTAACCAAGGTGACGAGGGAACAAGAAAAGGAAGGAAGTACACAAGATTTCCAATCCTCACTTTATAAAGCTCAATGTACAAGTTATTTGAAAGAACGTCACTTTTTCTGGCATTCATCACATTCCTATCTGACACATTTCAGCGCTATGCATGTCTTTTTTCAGACAAGAATGTCACAGTTAAGAAATGAGTTGCCATTTTTACAATGGCCCAGTATTCAGTCCGCTCTTTTACAAATTTGTTGGACAACATTGCTGAAAGGTGGCATAACAGAAATGACTGGCCAATTTATTTCTGCCTGCCACCCTTTATAAACAGGCCATGCGCATGGATTTATGCTAATACAAACTGGTACAGATTCTGGAAAGATTAATGGTAACATTAAATTACATGTCTTATGGAGCAATTTTGTTGGGGGGGAGTTATAAACCTTACTGATAGGCAAATCAGGAGTGTCAAGACAAATTAAACCCAATTCTAGGAAAATGAGAAAAGAACAACAACTCTGTTGCAAATGCTTTAAGTGGAAATTACCTCTAAGGGCTCTTGCACATAACCTGCACATTTCTAGGCATTCAGTCTTTTTTTTTTTTACCTACTTAACCACTTGATCTCCAGAAGATTTGTCCCCCCCCCCCCCTTCATGATCAGGCCATTTTTTTGTTATAAAGCACTGTATTGCTTTAACCTTCCTGGCGGTATGATTATTTCAGATTTTTGGTGCTGAAAGCGGTACATTATTTTGCATGGAAATATGTAGTTTTTTTATTGTAGGCTGTAATTTTTAGGAATAACTCACTGAAATGTGTCTGAACAAGAATCTAGTAAACATCCCGGATATGATAAAATTTGAAACACGAAATCATAAATTATAATTTAATAAATAATCCTAAAAAATAATATTATAATAATAATACATTTAATTCAATAATATAATCAAACAAAAAAACACTGAAATTTGAAATAGAGCGCCAAGTTCGCACATTGCTGAGCAAAGTCACAAAATCGTTTTCAGTGTCTGATGACGAATTTCCCCACGAATCATTATCACTCAATTCTGCAAGTGGTTCTGATTTACTATCGCTGTTCTCTAGCTGATCGAAACCTGCTTTTGACCTAAAGGGACAATTTTTGGACGCAGTGGACTTTTCTCAGTTTCCATGCAGAAAGAACAGACAAAATGCAGGCAGGGCGCAGGACAAAGCACTAGGGACAAAATGTATGTGAAATGGGTTGAAACAGCAATGTTTTTGCTATGTAAAATTTGTTTTGAAAAAAATGACATTTTTTAAAATGTTCAAATTTCCCGCCGGTGGCAGCACCCGTACGTCCCGACGTCACAGGGACCGTAACACAGAAGCCGGATGCCGGCATCAGCCAGAGGAGATGGCCGGGGACGCTGCAGGGGACACATCGCGGGAGCGCAGGACAAGGTAAGTGCTGCAGGGACTCCCTATGCAGCGCCGCATGGTAAGCCCGAGTGTAGCTCGGGGTTACCGCTTTTGGTACTGACATTTTACCCCGAGCTACACTCGGGAATACCGCTAGGGAGGTTAACTGACAATTGCGCAGTCATGCAACGCTGTACATAAATGAACTTAGTGTCTTAGCTTTCTTTTAGTGATATTTGATCACCAATGGGTTTTTTTTTTATTTTTTGTGCACTGTAAACTAAAAAAAAAACAGACAATTTTGAAATTTAGATTCTGCTGTACAACATAATCAAATAAAAAAATGTTTAAAAATCAAATTACTTCATAGATTTAGGCCAATATGTGTTCTGCTGCATATTTTTTGTGAAAAAAATCCCAATAAGCATATATTGATTGGTTTGCGCAAAAGTTATAGCGTCTAAAAACTATGGTATATTTGTATTTATTTATTTGTTTGTTTTTATACTAGCAATGGCGGCGATCAGCAACTTATAGCTCTACTGCAGACAATCTGACACTAACTGACACTTTGTAGGATCCAGTGACACTAATACAACGATCGGTGCTAAAAATGTACACTTTCACTGCACTAATGACATTTTCTGTGAAGGGGTTAACATCTAGGATGATCAAAGGGTTAAATGTGGGCCTAACTGTGCTTGTTGTGTGTACTGGGAAGTGTTTTTATTAGGCGATGTGCTTTCCAGGTTAACAAAACCCAGCACATCGTCACTGACAGGACACTGCTCTGTCTTGTTTACATAGACTGAGCTGTGTCTCTCCTCATCGATCAGCATGTGCCGGTGGTCATCCATTGGCCGGCATGCTGATCGGCTTCTGCTGTGACAAATCACAGAAGAAGCGGTGTGTGTGCAGAACCACATATATACACCTGATTCTGCCCGCAGCAGCTGTAGGGCAGTCGCCAAATGGCTAAAGCTGTATTAAACCCAAAACCAAAAGATGTGGTTGCTGCATCAGTTTTCCTTTCTTTGGTTTTTTTTCTTCTAATTTTACTGTTGATCTGGCTAGTAACACATCTCCTATATTACACACATCGTATACACAATGAGAATATTGGAAAATTGATCGTCTGGTTTTTTTTGCATGCTAGTCTCATATCGAAAATAAAGGGGTTACTAAAGTTACAAAAATTCTTGTATGACAGAAAAAAATTTCAAAAGTGATGTAATGTAATGTATTCTTTTTTTTCCTGAGCATGTGTGGTCTTGGTCTTCTAACTTTTTTCAGACGAATACTGCACTGATTTAACAAAAATCGTACATTCTGGTATCGTCAGGGGCGGACTGACTAATTGGAAACTTGGGCACTGCCCGAGGGCCTGGGGTCAGTAGGGGGCCCCATGAGATGCCCCTGGTACCTTTTTCATAGGCTTTTTTGAGTTTGGCCAAGGACACAGGGGCCCCATGATCCTCTATTGCCTGGGGGCCCCATGAGTTGTCAGTCCGCCCCTGGGTATCATACAAGAAAAATTTTTGTGTTTGGATAATTTCACATGAACTGCCATGATCGGCTCTGTGTATTAACAATCAGATTATCATATGATTGTTTTGAAAAGCTGTATTTTGTGTCCAATTTTCTGATTGTACTGGCTTTATTTATTTATTTCAGTTACTTGTATAGTTCCGTCAATTTACGCAGTACTTTACATATATATTGTACATTTACATCAGTCCCTAACCCTCAAGGGGCGTACAATCTAAGGTTCCTAACTCACATTCATACATACACATATTAGGGCAATTTAGACAGGATCCATTCACCTACCAGCATGTCTTTAAAGTATGGGAGGAAACCGGAGTACCCAGAGAAAACTCACTTAGGCACAGGGAGAACATGCAAACTCCAGTCGGGTAGTGCCGTGGCTGGGATTCGGACCAATGACCCTAGTACTGCCAGGCGGAAGTGCTAACCATTTAGCCACTGTGCTTTAACACTTTATAATCAGTTACAGAATTTTTTTTCTGTTTGGTATAAAGGTTTTGCATGAATAAATAAAAGATGATTATGTAAGCACCCCTGCCAGTGTTATATGGTTTGTGTCATCTGTGTAAACTGACACATTATCCTGGAGAGCTTGTGCTTTTGAAAAACAACAGACTTTCTGGCTGATTCACCTGATAAAATAAGAGAAAGAAAGCCTAAAAAAGGAAAGTAATGCAGCCATCACCTCCAAGACTTGGTAAACTGCAATATAATAAATGTTTGCTTTTGGGTTTAATACTGCTTTAAATGCAGTCCATTTTAAACTTGGGCTGCATATAGGTCAGTAGAAAAAAAAAAAAATACAAAAATCTGTGGTCCTGGTCAGTATTTTACATGCCACACCCCCTTGATTAAAAAAAAGCTAGAGGAATATTTACATGTATGTACATTCATTTACACACACAGATATGCATAAGCTATACAGGGCAACACGGTGACTAAATGGTTAGCACTTCCGCCTGGCAGTACTAGGGTTGTTGGTTGAAATCCCAACCACGGCACCACCTGCCTGCAGTTTTGCATGTTCTCCCTGTGCCTGCATGGGTTTCCTCTAGGTACTCCAGTTTCCTCCCACACTCCAAAGACATGCTGGTAGATGAATTGCCTCCTGTGTAAATTGTCTCTAGTATGTGTATGTATGAATGTAAGTTAGGGACCTTAGACTGTACACCCCTGAGGGTTAGGGACTGATGTGAATGTACAATAAATATATGTAAAGCACTGTGTAAATTGACAGCACTATATAAGTACCTGAAATAAATAATACAGCCAATCCTCATGTTTTTATGTAGGAACTTTCTGCTAGGAATATATGATATTCATACATATATTCAGCACCCTGTTGAAAAAAGTGATTTTGCTATGTAATGTGGAACATCTTAACCTCCCTGGCGGTATGATTATTTCAGATTTTTGGTGCTGAAAGTGTACCATTTTTTTGCATGGAAATATGTATTTTTTTAATTGTAGGCATGTAATTTTTAGGAAAAACTCACTGAAATCTGTCCGAACAAGAGTCTAGTAAACATCCCGGGTATGATAAAATTTGAAACACAAAATCATAAATTATAATTTAATAAATAATCATAAAAAATAATATAAAAAAAATAAATTTAATTCAATAATATAATCAAACCAAAAAACACTGAAATTTGAAATATAGCACCAAGTTCGCACATTGCTGAGCTCAGTCGCAGAATCGTTTTCAGTGTCTGATGACGAATTTCCCCACGAATCATTATCACTCAATTCTGCAAGTGGTCAGTAGTTGATTTACTATCGCTGTTTTCTAGCTGATCTAAACCGCTTTTGACCTAAAGGGACAGTTTTTGGACGCCATGGACGTTTTCAGTTTCCAGGCAGAAAGAACAGACAAAATGCAGGCAGGGCGCCGGACAAAGCACTCAGGACAAAATGTATGTGAAATTGGTTGAGACAGCAATGTTTTACTATGTAAAATGTAAAAAAAAAAAAAATGACATTTTTTAAAATCTTTAAATTTCCCGCCGCCTGCGGCGGCGGCGCCCGTACGTCCCGACGTCACAGGGACAGGGACACAGAAGTCGGATGCCGGCATCGCCGGGAGGAGATGGCCGGGGACGCTGCAGGGGACAACATCGTGGGAGCGCAGGGTAAGGTAAGTGAAGAACACATGCCGGAGCAGTGCCGCATGGTATTCCCGAGTGTAGCTCGGGGGGTTACCGCTTTTGGTACTGAAATGTTACCCCGAGCTACACTCGGGAATACCGCTAAGGAGGTTAATATAACCTAAGCAGTATCCAACAAGTGTACCTTTTTTCTTCAATTCCTCCTATTGAATATACACTTCCAGGTATGTAATGGGCCTAGACATCTCTGTGTCTAGTCTAACAGCCTTATAGTTGTATATCCGCAGTGCAAGATCTAAGACACTGCTGCCTCTGACTGCTAATCTCACTAGATTTGAAAGGAGATTTGGTGATGTCATTACTGTGCTGCTTGCTGGAGAGGAATGTGCACTGCATGCATGGCATTTCCCTGCTTCTACTTTATTCATTCTGCGAGTCTGTGTTTTGTGGACTGCTTCTGCTCCCATAAAAAAAAAATCACAGTGCAGTACAAGGTATGGTACATCAGTAGTGGGGAATAGATCAGCTGCAGGGAGACTACAGACAACATTGATGACTAGTCCTTTGCCCTCTACCTGTTGTGGCATTGCCGTAGATTCCAGGTCCTCCGTAAAGCCAAACTCTAGGCAGCTATTACTGTATAAACATTAATGAATGCAGGTATGTATTTGTTAGTAAAAACATTAAGGCTGTGTTCATAGCATTATGAAAGAAACTGCAATTAATTGTTTAGCATTATGAAACAAGCTGCAATCTTATTGTAAATCTGCCTCATAATCTGGCTCACTGCTCCTTTGTTGTACTGCCTTACTGTGAGAAAAAAAAACTGATAAATCTCCCTTATGGGTTTTCTATAAAGAATAAATTAGTTCTGGTCGGATGCCAGAACATTCAAGGCTTCTTAAAGGGCTCCTTCCAGCCTTGATGTAACATTCTTTTGCTTCTGCTGTGTGATGAGACACCTAGCTAACAGGGGGGAAACCTCACTTTTGTCATTCACTGCGTGTGCTGCTGGTACTATGGAGTCATGTCAGAGCTTATTGATCTTCAAAGAGGGCAAACCGTTGGTGTCCACTTAGCTGGTGCCTCTGTGACTGAAGTTGTCAATTTATTTGCCATGTCGGGAGGTAAAGTATCAAAGGTTAGGATGGCATATACAGTTTCCGGTAAACCGTCATCTGATAACCATAAGCACAGTCAACACGGTTGACTGACCGAAAAAGGGAAAAGGAAGATTTGTGACCCGAAATAAGAAAACTGCTGCAAAAGTGACTGCAGAGCTCAATCTCAGTCTTCACGGGATATTGACAGCAGTTGTTAGGACGTCGGCGGCTGGCCCACACACTGCCCAATGTTGTACTGTTGCACAATGAAAACCTCTGCTTTTTTGCATTGCAAATGCAGGCTTTATCGACCTGCTGAACAAAAATAAACAGGAGAAGGGCCTCTAACTGGGACGATCGCCACTAGAGATATGCTGGGGGGGAGGTCTAGGTAAAAGTCACTGTCATAGATGAGGAAGCTGGCCAAAACCCGCCACCATCTGAATCAAGGGCTGGAATGCCATGTGAGTTGCCTAACTTTCTTTTACTTCTGCTGTGTGATGAGACACCTAGGTAACATGTGGGAAGCCTCACTTTTGTCATTCACTGCATGCACTGCTAGTAATATGGAGTCATGTCAGAGCTTACTGAGCTTCAAAGAGGACAAATCGCTGGTGCCCGCTTAGCTGGTGCCTCTGTGACTGAAATTGTCAATTTATTTGCCGTGTTGGGAGGTACAGTAACATAGGTTAGGATGGCATATACAGTTTCTGGGAAAACGTCGTCTGATAACCATAAGCACGGTCAACACGGCTGACTGACCGAAAGAAGGCAAAGGAAGGATTGTAACCCGAAATAAGAAAACTGCTGCAAAAAGTGACTGCAGAGCTCAATCTCAGTCTTCACGGGATATTGACAGCAGTTGTTAGGACGCCGGCGGCTGGCCCACACGCTGCCCAATGTTGTACTGTTGCACAATGAAAACCTGTGGTTTTGTGCAGTAAAAATGCAGGCTTTGTCCACCTGCTGAACAAAGAAAAACAGGAGAAGGGCCTCTAACTGTTGAATTATTTAATAAATTTGCAAGTTAGGCAAATCACATGGTGCTAAAAACAAGAAGGCTCATCAGTAATAGAACTCCAGGGACGATCGCCATTAGAAATACGCTGGGAGGTCCAGGTAAAAGCCGCTGTCATAGATGAGGAAGCTGGCCAGAACCATCCACCATCTGAATCAAGTGCTGGAACGCCATGTGAGTTGCCTAACTTGTGAATTTATTAAATAGTTCAAAAGTCTACACTTAGAGGCCCTTCTCCTGTTTTTCTTTGTTTTCCACACTACTAGCGTCAGCTTCTGCTCTTAGGACAAGCCTGCCCTGGTGGAAGGACTAATTTAACGTTTTGTCTATGTATAAAAATAGCCCTTATGTAATTGAGAGCTGTCATATACTACTCTATTGGACAAACCTTGGACTATTGGGTGTATAATCCATTGCACCTATTTTTCCTTTTTATCCACCTGCTGGCTTAATATAACAAATCTTCACTGTTTGAATACAGTTCCACTTTAAGGACTCATTAAACAAGGTTTCAATTGAAAGCTCCAGCTTCACTAATTAGTATCAAATCCTAATTTGTTCAGTCATGAAACAAAAAATGTAACATAATTATCAGACCCTCTATATACTCCAATAGGAATCCAGCAGGGAACAGTGACTACTTTTAGGTTAAATCATACCTTGAAAGATTTTTGCTCAGCTGCAATCTTTGCTAGATGTCTCCTAGGACTTTCTTAATTATGGATAATGCTGTGGGCTTAGCAATACATGAAATGTTTGTGTTGAGATAATTCTTCTAAACTGTCATGCGTTTGTTTCTGCTCTGTATATACTCTTTTTGCTTCATGTGTTAATCCATAAGGCACAGAGAGCTGAATATGTAAGACTAAGGCTTCTTTCACATGAAGGGTCCAATCAGGTCTACCTGTCAGTTCTTCAGGTGGACCTGATCGCATTGTCCATCCACCTTTATGGATCGGTGGGTATAAACAAACTTGTGTCAGTTTATACCCGAATACCTCCAATCTGATCCAAGTCCATTTACTCCTAGCTGCCCATAGGTCTCTGTCCACGTCTACTGTGCATAATCTGAGTGGACATGCACCTGTCGTCCGCCCTCTCTACTCTGATCAGCAGTGGATCAGTGGGCAGATCCTCTGCTGATCAAAATGGAGATTTTTATTTATGTATTAATGTCATACACATCCATCAAACTTATGTATAAAAGTACAAAATATAAATAAATAAATACAAAACTCAACACAAAGGAAACTAAAAAGTCCCAACAGTCCCTGGGGGAAAAAAACTCAAACACAGCCAGAACGGCTCATAAATAAAAGTCCATAACCTGAAAGGAAAATCTAAAGGTATATACAATATCTACAGTACAAGGCCTATATGGCCGAGACCATATAATTAGGAGCCTTTATGGCTCAGATATAAACATAAACCATATTCAATTTCCATATTAAACCTGCTACTTACGGCCTATATGGCCTAAACTATACACAAAAAAAAAATAACCACACTATTACACTACAGGGGAGGGCTAAGGAACCCGCAGATCTTCCACGTCTGACCCCTACAACCTACTATGCAAAAGGCTACCAAAAAGACCGAAACGCAAAAGCTAGGGAGTGCAAGAGGCAGAAAACAGGGACAGTTCCCATCACCCGAGATCAACAGACCGCAGCAACAGGCTTGATATTCCTCCACGCCTCCATCCAAGCCCTACGCCGCAGCCTGTCTTTCTCAAGACCCCGAATTTTCCCAACCTGCTGATCAAAATGGAGTCCCCCTCATGTTGAAGGGGCCTAAAGGCAAATGGTTGTTTATTACCCCCTACTTAAATTACCAAGAAGATAGGTGAAAGTACTTCTATAAATTAACTTCTATTAATTAATAGAGATATTTGAATATAGTGTAATAATGAACCTCAAATCTATTCAGCTGCCTAAGAACATAGTTGAAGTTCAACAGATGACACAGTGCCAAAGCAATGAATCAGTAGGGTGGTGGCTGGTGTTAATATGTAGACATCTTCAACAGCTGTTGTACTTCATGTTTTATCCAACGTCCTCCAGTGGTGGGTACTTACCTGTGACCCAAAGAGCTGCCTAATAACCGCATTGGTGCTTCAAAGATACAGCATCAAACACTGAGTTTTTTCTTCTGATCCAGTTCCACTCCTAATCCAATTTGCCATGATATAGTTGGTCATGCACTGGCAAATTTAGTGTGCTCTTTTTCCACACGTTACAAATCTTTAACTGCTGGCATGTGGATGGAGATGGGTCTGTACTGGCACTGGCAGCGCTGTACTGAGAGTAAAAGAGAACTTGTTCGCTCCTTCTGTCCTAGCACTGGCCATACACCATTAGAATTTGTTTAAAATTTTGATGAGAAATTACGAAAAAACCTTTGATAAAGCACTGGATAGTATGATTATGGAACTTTTTATGAAAGCCCTGAAAACTTTCATTCCTTTGCCATTCCAGTGTTTTAAATTCTACGTTTGATTTTAGGACACACGTATGCATTACAATAAGCAATGCTTTTTTCAGCAGGAACGCAATTCTGGCACCTCCAGTACTTAATGTGTGTAATGGCAAGGGGCGCTGGAGGATCTATTGTTGCTGGCTGCTGAGGATCTATTGTCTATTGTTGCAGGGGAGGTCAGTGGTTGCTGGTGGGGGATCTGTTCTAAATGGGGGGTCAATTGTTGCCGGAAGGGATCTGCTGTTGAGGGAGGGGTCTATTGTCATTTGTTGCTGGCAGCTGGAGAGTCTATTGATGCTTGCATCTGGGAGATCTGTTGTAGCTGCTAGGGGTCTGTTGTTGCTGGGGTGGTCTTTTGTTTTGGGGGTCCACTGTGCAGGAGGAATTTATTGTTGCTGGGGGGGTCTATTTATGAGAAAAAAAGCCCTGACAATAAGTAAGATTTTTTTGTTACAAAACCATTGTCAGGAATCAGAAGCAGAGATGGCCAGATCTCCATGGCTACACTCAGGAAAATGGGACCAGACTATGTATGCTTTAAGTGAGATTTATTTACATTGAAACAGAATCC